CCCCCCCCCCAAAGTCTCTGATTTATAGTTGTTACTCCATTTTAGGCCCTTCTTTTAACAATCTCTTCCTTTCAAAAGTAACTCTTTCTGTCTGCTATGTCTGTGCAAGCATTGTTTACTTCCCTTATTTATAATAAACCTAACTTTATGAATATAACTAAATGTCTTCCTTGTGGGCAAACTTTCCTGGGGAAATGTAACACATGCAGCTGAAAGGTAGTCTGATGAAATTTTTCTCAGGTAAACTAAGGACCAAGCTCTCTGAATCCAAATTTCTCCAAACTGACATTACCCTGCAGCAACCATTTCTTGTATGTGGGTTAATAAATATGCCAACGGATAAACTATTAACCCAAAAATAATTTACAAAACAATTTATAGGTGTTAGATTAGACTACAAATATAATAGAGGACATGTCCTGTACCATATACCACCCTGACACTAACTAGCTATATGATCTCAAATCGAACACACTGTGTCTCTTGTTTTCTCACTTAAAATTAAAATCACAGATCGAGATTCAGGACATGGTATTTCACTATTGTATACTCTTACTCTCAGAGAAAATATTCTGCTGTTTGATTTGCATTAGACAAATTCAAAACTCCTTTAAAATATTTAATGAAATGCATATTTAGTTGATGCCATATTCTGTACTAATCGTATTGGTTATGTTTATAACAAGCATTAATATGACACTACAGTTTATTTAAATGTCCTCATTTTAATAAATAATGTATATATGTGTGTGTATATATAATACACACACACACACTCATTTTATCCATCACCCTATTTAATTACACACTATCACTACAAGACAGACAGGCTGGCAGAAATTAAACTCTGCTCAGGTTCACTGGGCCAGGAAGCGGCTTGAGGTCTTTTCTTGGCTCAGAAACAACACATGAACTGTAACTTTGTTGACACTTTCTTTTTTAACGTTTTTTTAAGATTTATTTTTATTTATACATACAAAAACTGGGATGTAGGCCAGAGGTGCTAGGAATGAGAGAATTTACCAGAGACAGAGTGGGGAGCAGAACAGGCAGATTGAAATACACTAAGGGGTGCAACAGGCAAGAGACAGGAGAGGTCTGCTGCCCCATGTGGGTCAGCTTCCTGGCCAGGGATGGAGCTCCTTCCTCAATGGCTGGAATAACTTGATAGCACTGAGACTTTAACCCCAGGGCCCACCAGGGAGGAGGCTCCCCCTTTTAACTTTCTACTACTTTTTTTCATTATCAATGCTTTGTGACTTACACATGACTGATGTAGATTTGTAGTAGCAATGATTGGGAATTTTCTTTTATGGTTTAACCATTTAATCTGTGTATTTTCGGATTAATATAAAAAATAATCGAGGTAGCTCGACCAGCTCGGGAACCAGCAAGATGGCGGCAGAATAAAGACACCGAAACGACTACATCCAAACTCTCACGGGATTATATAAAAACGGACTACAGACTTTCATGCTACGAGTTTCAACCCAAATGAGAACGCCCTGGACTCACTAGAA